CCTGTTTACAGAGCGGAATGCTTGAAATAAATTCTTGCAGTTCTGCCTTGACTTGTTCGTTGGGAGAAGCCGGAACTTCTGAATCCTGAACATTGAAGTCGCCGGCGATGAGCACATGACTGTATCATTGTCGAAGTACCCTACCCACTGAGAGTGTCAGGCGGGAGTCCATCTCTGGAGTGGACATTGGGGGAAAACAAACAAATGCCAAAAGGCAGGTATCGTTGTGCCTTAGTCGCAGACTACACCAGAGAGGGAATTTATGCAGCTTTTCCAGATCGTGCACCAGTATAAAATTACCCTACAGCCCTTACAGGGGAGATCGTTTCGAAAGAGGGACATGCCCTGTATCGTGACTTCGGAGTCGGTGATTTCTGAATACCGCCAAGTCCGTTATGAATATTAGGTCCCAGGCGTATGATGCATAACGTAGTCTCAGTTCGGCAAGCTTGCTAAGTAGAGCTTGTGCATTCGTGTACATTCAGGAAAGTGTCTCTGTTCTTAGCGATGAGTCCTGGGACATGGCTGACTTGCCGAACTACCTTTACATGGTGCCAGCTGGGTGGTTCGGGTGTAACCCGTTCCAGCAAAGTGTTCGGCGACAATGTTCCACCTCGGTGGGACATTGTATTCCAGCAGGTGTGCTGACTCCAAGGGGAGTATTGGGCCCCTGTTTGGTAATCTACCAAACAAAGACGCATGCACTGAACATTCAACGCCTCCCAATGGGCGCGATTCCCTAAATTCGCCCCGCTGCCTTGGGGGTAGTTTTATTTAGCCAAAGGCTCGGGGTGGAGTCCCCTAAGCCAACTCCCTACTTCGGCTTGGGCAACGGGGTAGTATCACGCCCACTTGCAATACCATGAACTGGATTACAACGTGCTCATAAGCTACTGTTGCTGCTACGCACTTTCACGTGACTTCATCACACGCCAGTTGTTTATTTGTTAACAATCCTCACTTTTCGTTACCCGATTCATGTGTTCAACAATCTGGCTGCGATTCCGCTTGCGCCACAGACCAAGGAGTTCAACCTATGGCTCTCCTTCGTCCCTGATCCTCGTTCCGTCTAGCGTGCTTCAACGTTCGGACACTCATGCAGATTGGACAGCAAGCCGGACTAGCGCACACCCTAGATTCCCTAGACATTGATGTCTGCTGCCTTTCAGAAACCCGATTGCAAGATCCCAGCACTGTGCTTACATTGACATCCCTCACTGACCACGAAGCAAGATTTCACCTGCGTTTTGATACAAGGAGTCACCGAGTGCCGAAACATGGGAAGCCTACACTATCCAAAGAAATCACTGCGTAAACCTGGTACGCGAAGATAAAATGCAGCACCAACAGAATCTAGCTGAGAAATTTCTTTCAAACCCCAAGCTCCTGTACAGACACGTTAACAAGCTCCGCAAAGTACAGCGAGGAATTCCTGCTTTACACACATTCTGTGGACTTGCACAAAACGCAACCGAGGCGGCCAACGCCCTATGTCAACAATTCGCCCCGAACTTCCAGAGTGCGACATCGTCGCATACACTGTTTCCAATCGTTGTACCACCACCAGGACTCAGCCACATCACATTTACGACTGCGGTTGTCATGAAAAGGCTAATTGCACTGCGCAAGCATACCTCTCCCGGTGTTGATAATATTCGTCCAAAAGCGTTGAAATTGGCTGCAGTAAACCTGGCTGACCCACACTGCAAATTCTTCCAACGACGCCTCGATGAGATGCGCGTGCCAACAATGTGGAAGCAAGGCGTCGTCACTCCCATCCATAAGGGGGGAAGTCGTACAGATCCGGCCAACTACCGCCCGATAACACTACTCCCGGTGCTCTCCAAAATCATGGAAGCGATTGTCGCCGAAACTCTGATGAACTTCTTGGAAGAACGAAATATCATAGCACAAGAGCAACATGGGTTTCGCAAGAACCGATCTTGCACTTCAAAGTTGGTACATGCTAGATCCAGCTGGACTGAGACCGTCGACAGCGGCGTAGGTGTTGACGCAGTATAGCTGGACTTCTCAAAGGCTTTCGACCGTCTGAACCACCGCATCCTGCTTCACAAGCTGCAGTGTTGTGGAATTGGTGACCCAATCCCCGGTTGGATGGCTAACTTCTTGCTTCAACGACATCTGAATGTAAGACTTCGCGGCGTCATCTCTGACCCAATCGACGTTAAGTGCGGAGTGCCCCAGGGCTCAGTACTTGGTCCACGACTATTCCTGATTTACATAAACGATCTCGCGACAGTAATCAACTCCAACTCCTTATTCTTCGCTGATGATCTCAAGATATGGCGAGCCATTAGAACAACCAGCGACAATGCAGCACTTCAGTATGATCTGGACAGGGTCTACGAATGGTCGACTCAGAACCTGCTTCAGTTCAATGCTACAAAATGCAAGGTGCTGAGCATACGCCATAAAGCCACTTGTGAATACAGACTGGGAGATCAAATATTGCAGCGCACAACAACGGAATGCGATCTAGGCGTGATAGTGTAGGAAGATCTGGGCTGTTCCCGTCAGGCCGAGAAAGCCTCCAAAAAAGCTAACCAAAACCTAGGCCTTTTGCGGAGGACATTCGGGCGCTTCGATCCTTCCATCTTTTCCCAGATGCTGAACGCCTACATTCGGCCTCATTGTGAGTACGCCATCCACTCTTGGCAGCCATGGCAGAAGCAAGACCTTACCGCTCTTGAACTGCCACAACGCCGGGCGACCAAGAACGTCAAGCGCCTGTTTCATCTCCCTTACCGATTGAGGCTGAAAACCCTCGGGGTCTACAGTGGACAATATCGACGCCTGCGTGGCGACTTGCTAATGACTTATATGATCCTGCGCAATCCAAACCATTGTTGTCGTCACCTACTTAAGCTGAATAGCAATACAACACTCAGAGGACACCATCTAAAGCTGGCCACACAATACAGCCGGTTGGAATGCCGCCGGAATTTCTTTTCCCTTCGTGTGTGCCAACACTGGAACGCTCTTCCCACATACGTTGTTTCTTCCCTCACGCTATCGCTATTTAAAAGACGTCTGGAGGATTCGCTTATCCGCCTACATTACGCTATATAATCAGAGATGTCCACGTTGAACAAACACGAAAAAATACGGTGCTCATTCTCAGCTTTTGTGCTTCACTATTTACACACTGCTGTTGTGGAATATAGTATCGGATATATTACAACTACATTCATCAATTTACCCCAGTCCAAGAAAGCGGCGCACGAGTAAGCGTTGGTCGTTTCTATTGTTCTTAAGACCTGCCTTATCCATATTACTTCCCACAATACTCTACAGTAACAATTCAGTACACGTTCTACAGCGTTTCTATGAATAAGAGGCACTTGAATTCACTAGAAGCTTAAACTGACGATTTACACTGATGTTTACTTTCACTTCAACCATCCTACGGGACTTGTAAAGCAATCGCTTTTTTACCTGTAATATATCATTGTTCATTGTTCAAGTCAGGTTTTCCTACAGTTCAGGACTCTTCCAGCGCACAGCATTCCTCAAACGCGCTGGAATCTGATGAAATGATCTTAAGCTGATGCCCACTTCATCGTCAACTTCTTGAACAGTTAAACAACGATTTCCACAGACCACAGCATGAACTCTGTCAACATGCTCATCTTCGGTTGATGTGGAAGGTCGTCAAGCCTTGGGATGGTCATCGACCGGTATTCTGCCGTGTTCAAAACCCTTAAAGCAATTACAGCCCTGCGTGCGACTGTTACAGTCCTCCCGTATGCTTAGCTTATCAACTGAAATATCTCAGGTAAGTTTTCCAAGTTTGTAGTAAACTTGCACACACATTGTTCTTCAAGCTCTTTCATTGTCTCTTGGCACTAATCTGACGAACAGCTTGTGCACGTGCTCACTTCAGTGGCTGTAGCTCGCCAACTGACATTCAGAGCGAAATGTGGCAAATGGCACTTTGTTGTCTAAACAAACATCCGCATGCTCTCAGTAGCGGCACGGCACCCCTTATGCCGGTTGGCGCGCTATTTCATAACTTCGGTTTCCTTAGCAACACCCATCGTACTTCGACCCGTTTTAACTTTACATCTTATCCGCACATGCTTCCTCACCTCACTTGTCTGCTACAGTTGAATAATTAAAAGTTCATAATAATTGTATACATGTTGGAAGCTTAGATTCCTCGCGCTTTTCCACGTTCTACTCATGTTACCATAATTGTAGACCCCTCGTTTCTCATGGTAGCCTGTCTCCTACATTTTCTGCAATTCTTCTCTCACGATTGGGCGCCTGGCCTAACTTGGCTGATGGTTAATGTCGCTTTTCTTACTTCCTTTAAGTTCGCTGTCATTCTGACCCCAAATTTGCATCGTAATGTAACAACCGGAATGGTCCTGAACTGATAACTAATGCTAGTGGAATTCTCAATGGAAAGTCATTGTCAAAAACAACCCTGTTCTCCCCTGCGTCAGTCCCAACCATCGATCATCCTGCATGCATGATCAAGTTACATGGTAAACATGATATGTTTCTTAGGAAAGCGTCTAGTGGTACCACACGAAAGGTAGCATTTCTGCTCTATTTTAATCTAATCCAAAATCATGGCCCTAACTTTCCATGAATTGCCACCAAGATTAATTGTTCAAGGCTGTGTTATACAATATGCAACTGCCTCTTGAAATTTGTAAATTAAATAGAATAGATAGCATTTCAGTATGAAACCTGTTTACTTTAATGGAACTAGAGTGGTGTGAACGGGTTTGTCTCGGACAATCCAGCCCACTACTTGGCAGAATGCATATTCGTTCAGAGTACGTAGAGCATGTAAGACCTAATGTGCTGATGCAGCAGTGATGACTTCAGAAATTGTGTGCACCACTATAGTTACAAATGAGCTGATATGCATCCCACTGGAGGTATGTTGCCAATAAGTTAGATTGTACTTTTAACTACATCTTTTGTGAATCCGTGGGTATTAAGAGCTATCAGTACAAATCACTTACCTGAATGCACTGCCGGTATTTGCGCATCAAGTGGTCCGAAGCTGCCTGTAACGCGAACCACTATACCAGTGATCAAAGTGATAAGTCCGAGTATCTGCAATGATAGCAAAATTAATGTTTGCTGAAATGTTGAACCAGATTCAACAACTTGGATACCTATGCTTTCTTCACTGTAGCTCGAGATTATTAGCACTGTTAACCACTTCATCCCTGCCTAAAAATCGATAGATCTACGCACAAAATTTACAATTCAGAGTCCTAATGTCTGAGACATTTTGCGATCAACAAAACGCCGATGGACTGGACTAGTTCTAAAACGACACTTAGGGGGCCTGCATGACTGCGTCTCTTGAGGAGTTTGTACACAAGTGCCGAAAGTATCACATTGAGTGTGTGCAGTTCAGGATTGTGAACGATTGACAGTAAACTGCTGAACGTTAGAGAACCAACAGTGAACATATAAATCAGATCCGTGTTTGTGTATAGAATTGCCTGGTGTTCAACAACGCTAGTTTTCCGCGACTCAGCGAAAACGTAGAAAAATCGCGAAATCTATAAATTTATGGGAAAATGAAAAACTTCGTGGAACCGCATAAAATAGGGAAATCCATAAAGCTACTCAGAATTCCCTTTTGTTATGTTCGATATACTCAACAGGTTTTAACTTTTGCACATGTTATCTCAGAAATTGAAACAGTATTTAGGCGGAAAAGCTACGCTGAGCAAAGTAAAGGAGTTTCCTGGAGAATACTACTTCGATAACGCAAATCACAAATTACCATTTCGTTCTTCATGTGAATAGACTGCGGATTCCTCTCGGAAATCAACCGAAATTGATCACACTCGCAGTCAAAGTATTTTCCGAAGAAAAGTTTCCAGAAGAAGCAAACAGCTAACTTATCGCCAATGGGCAACCAGCCATGAAGAAAGCTTGACAACCAAGCATGTTTAGTTCCATCGCCGTTGTGGATGCTGCCCAGGAAGCCCGCAACACGGTGCTTTTGGATGTTCTACCGGCCATGGTATCTGCGAATATCCTAATAAAGTAGGCCGACAACCCACAGTTGATGAACTTTCTTCACAGACAAGTACGAAATGATGGAAGTATTGTCGGATCTGACGCACTACGCCTGAATACTCATCAAATATACTGGAAACACGAACCGGTATTGAAAGCGATAATCCATGATACCTTTGTCAGTATCCTAACAAACGAAACAATTGGTGATCGCTGGAAGTTGGAACTGCATGTCCTTCTATGCTCAAGTTTGAATTGCAGCAAGGACAGCCATAGACATGATCAACTTAGGGAGGGTCATTTCGGCCACAGTTGAAAGAGCCATTTTGTACAGCTTGACAATGATGGGCATCGACTTCAAGTGTGTGAAAGCTTGCTTGTCCTAAGGATCAAGTTATTAACAGCACGTTACTGAGATGCCATTTTGCAATTTTATGAGGATGCAGGTCACATTACATGTGCTGCCCATTGCATCAATTTGATTTGAAAGACCAATCGCGTAAATCCTCTCCAGAAGTCGGCGGATTCGTTGCAAAAGGAAGTGCTTTTCCTCTTTCGGGAACAACTAGGAGTGTTTTTATTGAGTATCTAACTCAGGAAGAAGTAGATTACCCGTCCGGCCTACCTGCACAAATCATCCCAGCTGGAACTCCTAGGTGAAAACTGTCGCACACCACAGCAAATATTTCCATCGTTATCCAGCCAGGCTGCAAGCTGTACTTGAGTTTGGCGGCTCAGTTGGTGTTTGGGAAATTGTGGATCTTCTATCTAACGACACAACAGAGAAACCTTTGAAGTGGCAACAGTTGCATTGTGACCGTTAGCAAGAAGAGCGCCACTCATTTAGAGACTGCCGAATCACAGTATCCGGTAACCTATCGGCTTTAAAACGACCTGCCCGATCTATCCATGTCCCTGCAATTGCTGTTGAGAAAACTGGCTGCAGCATTTGCAGGCAATGGAACCGACCTGTGATGCGTCTAGCAAAAAGCAAACTAACATGCAACTTTGCTTCACCCAAGCTGCCAAAAAACCAAGAATTTGCTGATATCAGACGATAGCTAGCAGTTTCTAAAAGCCATTAGAGTGCTGGACCCCAAACAGCTCATTGTCTTACCCGGTGATACCTGCAGCTATGCCGATGTTCAAGGTCTGGTTATTCCCCAGCTCTGGCAACCCATTGTCTACTTTCTCGAAAAGTGATGGAGGAACTGCAGAGAGAAAAATATGAAAACCCTCTGGACATCTGCTGCAGGATGCATGAAAGAACTCCACAACTGACAAACATTACAGCCGCTATTTATGCCTTCCTGTGAATTCGGTAGACGCTGAACAGGGCTTTAGTGCCTAGAAAAATGTTAAATCTGATAACTGTCATAAACTTACAGACAATAAAAAAAGAAGACTATTGTTAGGCTTTATTTTTGATCCCCTAATTTGTATCAAAACTGACATGCACGTGTTAGATGTTCATTTTAGTATTCGGGAGGAAAGAAAGGTATTTTATGTTAGCAGGGCAAAAATTCCGCCTGACTGCGCTTTTGATGAAAAAACTGTTTTGCCACTGCAGGAAAGTCGTGCATTTGCTGATGATAAGAGAAGGGCAGTTAGCCAGGGAACACGTCCGTTCGTGTAGTGTTTGCAGTCTCACTCACTGGAGCTTCACAATCCATGTAGACCTGGTGTCCGACAGAGTACAACTCGTACTGCGAGTGACCTCAAATTGTCTTTAAACGTCTAGGTGTGAGTGCTGCTCATTGTGAATGTCAGCGACACATAGACCCTCCAGTTAGTCCTACTTTGTATGCACAGTTGAAAGGCCACAATCGCTCGTGTGCGTATGTTTATGTGAAGGATTCGAAGGAATACTAATGAATCCCTTAGATTGGTTGCCTACCCTCAAGCATTCTCATCTTAAAAGCCAGTGGTAGTGATGACGCCGTTAGCCTGAATGGGCCGCGTTAACTCTTGGCTACCAAGCGCGTGCTGCTTACCATATTCCACATTCGTTCGAGCATTCGATGAAACAAATCGGGTGTAGTGATCAACAATTATACCTGAAGTCCAGTGACTCTAGAACGCTTCCACGCTTTGGAATGCAGTTTGGAAATTCGGAGTTCAAGGTACAATAATTTTCGTTGCAAGCACCCACACACTGGGTAGTTCGTGTGATTTGCCTCGGTTCTATTAAGACTGAGGTATGCACATATTGCACTTGAGTTGTATTTTGTTTAATTGTACCGTAGTTAACGTCTTGGTTGGACCAGGGCGTTTTTACGTGTTACTTGAGACTCACAATGAGTCTGTCGTTTGCATAAATAGCTTATCGACACAGTTGAGTATACAGCCACATCTGCCAACGGTTGGGCAATTGGATGTTATGCAGGCTACTTATCGTAAATCAGCTAAAACAGTTTGAGCACATTTTCAAAAGCCGAATGTAGGACAGGACGCAGTGGGATTTGCTAGATATGTTCTTTCTGTGATCGCGTCATTGCGGTTATCAGATAATCTGTGATATTACCGCCTTCTAACGCATATAGCCGACGGCATCTGCAGCACGCACACTAACGATAAGACATCACTGTTTTATTGTACCTCTTATTTGTGTGCCGGGGCCAACGGCATCCCGCTGGACGTGATAAGGAACGGCGGGTCCAACATTGTACGTGCTCTGTACCACTTAAAGGATGGCTTATTTTCTGAAGAACGGCTGCAAACTGAACTTAAGTCTATCCTTCTCTTGCTACTGTATAATGGCAATGGAGCAAGTAGTTTATCAAAATTATCGTGGCATCCGTTTTTGTTGCCCCTGGACGGTGACTGCCAGGATCCTGTTTCATGGCCTCGTCACTCAGGTCCTTGAACTAAGAGATTGAAGAGCAATACGGATGCCTTTCTGGTCTCTGCGCGGTAGATACAGTATTCGCGACTCGTCAACTATAGGGGGAATGTGGAGATGGACAATGACCACTGTACTCGCTGTATGCGGACCTCACACAGGCAGTTGACACGCCAACCGCATGGCAATGTGGCTGATGGGCAAATTTTGTTGCCCGAGCACGTTGGTAAGTTGAACTGAATGCCTATGTAGAGGTATGTGGGCAAACATGCGTCCAAATGAATAAACCTTGGATGGCTTCGATGTTGTCTGTGGTGTGAAGCAAGACTGGGTCTTAGCCCCTGCGCAGTTTTATAGTTACGTTAATGCTATGATGTGTTGTGCATATAATGTTTGTGATCACGGTGTCCATATGGAGCACCGTATTGATAGTGTTTCCGAGCGAGAAACTTGCTACTTGAGAGAACCATCAGTCACTTATTTTTTGTCGACGATTGTGTGTAACTTACACACTACGTGGATGACATGTAACGTATGACGACTGCTCTCATTTCAACGGCGACCAGATTCATACTCACCATCAAGACACTAAAGACGGGTTGACTTTCTTAGCCGTCACCAGGGATACAATCCGTTGACTGCCTCCAAAGCAGGATGGTTGATGAAGTTTTGGAGGCCTCAGCAAAAGTTTCTTTGTTGGGAGCATACTATCAATGAATCTGCAGATGACTAGTGAGCTGCACACATGTGTATCGAAGGCAAGTACTGGATTCGGAAAACCAGAACACAGGGTCTGGAAGAGATAAATTGAGCGTTGGGGTCAAGCTAGCGGTGTACAAGTCGGTGGTGCTGTCCGTTTACATCTACGGTAGCGAACCATAGGCGATATACAAGAATGACATCAGAAAGTTGGAGCGCATTCATAAACAGTGTCTGTGTCGGATTCTGCGCACCCAATGACGTTACAGAATATAGGACACAGAGGTACTCCGCGGAAGTAGCATGTATGGAAGTGACTGCCTACTTCTACCGTGCCAACTGAGGTCCATCGAACATATCTGTCATATAGATTCGACTAGAATCCCAAAACGCCAAATAAATTCAAGGGCGCGAAATGTGAAAAAACTAAAGCGGCATAATCGGTGAATGTTCAAGATGATTCTATCACTAACTAATAGCTTTAGGTGTCAAAAGTGATTGACAGCGGGTGGCAGCCAATAACGTGCTTACATAA